AGACTCGGCCATCACGCACACACCTAATCAACTAACCAATGCACTAGCTAATCCCTGACTACACGCACACGTCCACTACTTGCGCATCGTCCACTCAACGGCCAGCATGCACATGCACATGACTAGCTAACAAACTCCATGCGTGACTACATCAACTAACTCATCCTAGTTAGTATTGTACTGGACGTCACCTAATGTGGTTTTCTCCATCACTGGCAGCATGGAGCGCTGACGGCTATGTTTCCACCGGGGCGATAAAGCTCCTCCGATGCTGAAAAAAAACTAAAGCCATGAATCGAAGGCATAAATACATAGACTGCTCTTTGATAGCAACGATAAGAAAACGCTACGTGCCGCCCTTATCTGGACTTTCAAACAAACATAGCAGCCGCGTCCAAGCTGACAGTGTATCCCGCTACCTTTTCATCGGAATGTCCACAAATTAGACTTTACCATGTACGCAGCTCCCCTTCCACGTGACCTCTGCTCAGAATATTAAACAAAAACAACAACCAAATAAGCCAACGACAAGCTTAAACACGAGCGCGGCATGACACCGCACCTTCGCCTGCTAGTATATTACGAAACCTCCAAAGCATTCTTATTAAGGAGGAGATAGGACGATCCCTAGCTTGTTGGTATCTCACATTGATCGATGCTCGATGATGTGTACTCTACTCACCCCGTCTTCCACTGTGAAGAAGCTAAGGGTAGAGGGGGGCATGGACTCCTCCAAGATTGAGAAAACTGCACATATATCCTTCAAAGTTTAATGTAAAGTAGCAAACTAATTATGTTTGCCCCCTAATGATTTGTAGTTTGTGTTTGTATCCGCAACAAGGTGCTGGCAACGTGGAGCGCCGATGGCCATGTCTCCACCGGGGCGATCAAGCTCCTTCAACGCTTGGTGGAATTTTCTGCATGTTGATCAGCGCGGATTAGAAGAAGGCATGGGCCAAAATCCCCGAGACAGGGTTGATTAAGGAATAGGGCAAGCGGCCGATTGCGGATGCCTCACTGGCAGCCAAGAACACAATCTTTGTTCTGCAGGCGATGAATTGCAAGAAAATCACTAACTCACCTGCATTAGTAGGGCTTAGGCTGGCCATAGTGGAGGTATAAGAGCCGGTATCATACACTAGGGAATAGTAAACACGTTGATATGACAGAGAATTAAAAGAGAGAGAGGGTTAGAGTAACATAGGTAGATACCATATCATAATAAGTGGTATGCTACTTTGTGTCATGCATGATAATAAAGAGGATAATCTATGATACTATATATGCACTATAAAGCGAGTATCATATATACTACACTATGATTAGCCTTACATGCATCGTTAGCCCTTTTAATGATGTGGCAGTCAATTGTAATAAATAAGGTGAAGAGTGAGTGTGAGGTAGTATGAAGGTGTTGTTTAAATGAGAGAACTAGGAGGGTGACCCTCCAAATGCGAGGTCATCATATTTAGTGTGTCAAAACTATTTGAATAATATATACATATTCAATCATATTATGCTATTGCAAATAATACATGTTTTTATAGACACCACAAATGCCACGATGAAATATATATATATATATATATATATATATATATATATATATATATATATATATATATATCAAAGAGGATGTATTGCATGCAACTAAATTTGAATGAAAGATATTAGTCTTGTAAGACCATGCGTGATTAGATTGCGGAATAGGATTCGATGGAGTACTTGTTCTACAATAGTTGCGTAACTGAAAAGCACGAAGTCCAAATGCTTGCTAGGAAAAACACATCGGAATAACAAAACAGTAGAAATAATGTAAATGTTTCTCCAGTTCAATTAAGCATTGTGTGTAGGTTATGACAAAATAAATACAATATAACCACCCCTAAAATTCCTTCAACGGGTGACTAATACACCATCCAATGACCAAGCATGTGGTGACCCTCATCTTTTATTCATCAATTTCATAAAAGAAAAAATATGTTTTTGTCATGTAATTAATAGTACTCCCTCCGATCCAAAATAAGTGTCACAATTTTGAACTAAGTTTAGTTCAACCTTAGTTCAAAACCAGAACACTAATTATGGATCAGAGGTAGTAGATTACCTATATATAAGAAATTACAATGCTACACGGTTAAGAAGCAAGTGATTTTTTTTGTACTATAAGCAAATGTCCATTTTAAGTTTGTTATAGATAAAAATAAAGACAAGGAACAACTTGGAGAGGATTTTTGAAAACAAAACTATGTATACAAGAATCTGCTTCCTAAATTTTAACAAAAAATATATATTTCTAAGTTCTTAAATGAAAATATTTGTAAATTCTTAAAAGTTGTGAAAAACTCACACACATATGTATCTGTTAAAATAATGTGGTCAATTGAAACTTAATAATGCAGCATTCTCATCTTATTTTTTTGCAGGTCACAAATGGTCATTAAGATATTAATAGGCTACTACATGGTTGTGTGCATCTTGTGATGCAAAGGCCTGGTTATTCCCTTTTTTTTAAAAAAAAAAGATATCCAATCAGCTATCCGCGTTGACCATAGCGGTAGGCACTTTGCCATGTCAACACAGAGCGGAGGTCTCGGCAGTACTTGATGAAACCCTACCGTCGGCGTAACCGGCGGTACCCAAAATGATCAAATCATGCTAAACTTTCAAAGTGGGGTCAAATCACGCTAAACTTTGACCAAAAGATAAACAGTGGCAACAACGGCCCCTCTAAGGCTTCGTCCATGTACTCGACGATGGCCAGTTTGTGGATGGAGTTGCATGTGAGCAGGCTCTTGTTGCACAACTCTCTAGATGCGCTCGTGCTTATTAATCGAATCATTAGATTACATAACGTAACTCTCTAGATGCATCCAGTCATGTTGCTTCTGTTTTCCTTTTCGTATTCTTAACTTTTTTATTTCCTTCCTTTTCTGTTTCTTTTTTGAAGATTTGCTTTTTACAAATACATAAATCTGTTTTAAGATACATAAACCATTTTTAAAAATTACATACACATTTATGGAAACTGTAAATGTATGAACAACTTTTTAATTCTCATGAATATATTTTTAAATATTTTAAACCTTTTTTACTTCATGCACATTTTTAATGCACGCACACTTTTTAGTTACATTAACATTAAAAAGAATACATGAACAATAGTTAATACATGATGTTTAAAAAAATATCTGAACAACTTTTTTGTCGCATATTGTATTCAAAATGCTTGAACACTTATTTTGAAAATATGTGAACAATTTTTTAGTTACAACTTACAAATACTATTTTTCTCAAAATATGTGAGCAATAATTTCGAGTTACATAAACATTATAAACTATACATGAACACTTTCTCAAATATTTGGGAATATACTTGATGGCACACAGATATTTTACCCTTTTGTAGTTAGTTATATACAAATTAATAGTATAAATATGTTTAACCTTTTTAGGAGTTTTTTCAAGTTTTATGAAAAAGAGAATAATCGTAGTGTTTTTCGTGGGCCACACTAAGTGTGGTCCATTTAGCTTGGGCGTGGGCGTGGCCACTCTTCAACAACAGGTTCTTGAACATCTACCCCTAAATGGGACTCCCTGTCTCTTCTACTATATTAGTGCCCACTCAAAAACAAAATTGTTACCCTATAACACCAACCATTGGATCAAGTCAAATAGAAAGCCAATATTCATTCTAGAGTATGATAACTTTTGTCAGAATTAGTAAATGTGTACGTGCAACGCATTTTCATATTTCATAGAATGTACATTTTAAAGATATTTGGTAGAATATTAGTTGCACAGCAATATCAAGAAACATATTAATTGCACAATAATTATGTGATTACAGCTGATATTGATATTTGGAACAATATTTATTGCACGTTAAAAATATTCAATGCTCGTCATTGAAGCAATCTTGGTCGTTTGATTGACATGAACTGATGACCAAGATTAGTTGGATCTATCACTTTGGGTCTTTTTATATTGGTATAGATAGATATAGATAATCATATTATAAAACAGATTCTAATGATGCTGGTGGTGCTTCACAAAGTACAAGCAGAAACACATAAACTCTTCTTCATAACCAAGTGACCAAAAACTCTAAATTCAGAGCATCAGTTTCAATCAATTTTTTATTAATCGATGGTAACTCTGTTTGGCGTACGTGTCATTGTATGTTGACGAGTTCAAAGAAACAAGCTTTTGCTTCTTTTAATCCTATAATTTCTTGCAAATGGGGTCAAAGTCTAAGCCATCAACCACATTAACATTTCTGTGCTGTGACATGTAAAATATCGGAGCTTCACATATATCGGAACCATTTTCGAAAGAGGTTATGGTTCAGTACTCCAGTCATGATTTTCTAAAAAGACTACTGTAACATACCAAGACAAAAAAGACATGTACAATTTTACCACTAGGAATCATTCAACTCGCGTCTTCTATGTTTTTGTTTTTTGAGGGAAGGCCACCATCGCGTCTTCTATATTACTAATCCCTCAATATATAAGTTCCTCAAAACATAACAGAGTACCATATAACACCAACCAGTGAATCGGGTCATATAGATGGACCATACATTTAGAGTATCATAATATTGATATTTTCTCAACACAATCAGATTGTGCAGCAGTTCCAAATTACATACAGCTTCACATAATAACATCCCAAATGAAAAAAGAAACATACAAACTCGTGGTCATAAATAAGTGAACAACAATCTAAAACCAGAGCATCAGTTTCAATCTGCTAGTAATGGTGGCTGCACTCCGCATTGGAAAAGAAATACAATCTGCCATGTCTTTACAGATTTCTGTATCTGAGAAAGCAAGACAAGTTACAACTAAATGGGAATTACACAGTAGTAGTACTCCATAGAAACCCGGCACAGCACTTAAGTAGCTTGTTCCTTTTCCCAGGAAACCATGATCATTAAGTCCATACGATTGATTTATGTTATAACCCCATGATATCCTCACAGTGATAACGCTGGATCACTTCGGAACCTCTGCCATTGCTTGAAACTTCTTCCTCACTGCAGTGAACTTGGAAACCAGTTCATCCATGTTCGGCAGGCACTCCTTAGCACGCTCGTCGCCGGCATATGCTTTCGCCCATCGGTGCAGAACAGGGAACTCCTCATTGGTGAGCAGATCCACTCCGGAGATCTCCTCGAAGGCTTCGAGCCAGCGAGCTAATCCACTGGCAGCTATGTCCACGAGGCCAATGGAGTCCCCTCCAAAAAACCTCTTCCCCTTAAGCTGTCCCTCGAGAAGCAGGAGATTCTCCTTGGCTACCTTCAAGAAGTCCTCCTCCTCCTCCTTGTCACCATCTGCCATACATATCGACATCCAGAACGGCCTAGCAAACTGCAGTATAGCGTTCAGGACAGAAACATATTGTTAAGAAGTTCACAAGAGATGGCACCTTTTGGTCGATGAACTGCGCCCAGAAGCGGGCCGTGGCCCTCTCATAGGGGTCGGCCGGCAGCAGCGGCGGCCCCTCGAAGGCCTCGTCGATGTACTCGACGATGATGAGCGACTCGCAGATGGATCTGTCGCCATGAAGGAGCACGGGGACCAGTTTGTGGATGGGGTTGCACGTCAGCAGCAGCTCGCTCTTGTTGTTGGGAAGGTCTTCGAGGCGCAGCTCATAAGGTATGCCCTTGATGCTCAGGGCCACCTCTGGACGATGGCCGTATATGGTGCCGAAAGTGCTCATCACCTTAACCGGCTCACCCATTTTTCCTTCCAAATTCCGGACCTGAAACTCAAAGCCAATGAATGCCGGTATGAAACGGGTGGTACCTATAGTGATGCCACTGGCCACTTAGCTATTGTTGTGTTGCTGTATGTTCTCTTGACACTTGAAAGACTGAGCTCTTCACTCCTTGATTGGAGTCACGGTGCGGGGGAGATAAACTACTGAGTTGATTCCTTCAATAGTTGGGATGTTTAAAGAAACTTATCTCATCCTCAACCCAATAAACTTGTTTGGCTGAAAGCATCTGTACAGATTCGGTCCGATGGACTTACTCGGGAGCCACACATGTAATTTTTTTTTAAAGTAAGCGCCTCGAGATGATGCAAGCCATGGGATAATCAAGCCCATTATATATAAAGGTTCGGTTCAACGGAGTTACTCGGGAGCCAACCATTTAAAAAAAAACTCTTGTAACATTTTAAAAATTTTTACATAAGTTTTTGTGAAAATAGTGATCACAAATTCCGGAAACATTTAAAAGAACAAAAACATAAAATACACAAACCAAGTAAAAAATGGAAAAATTAAACTTGTAAAAACCAAGAAATAAAAAAATTGAAAACCCAAACAAGAATTTACTAGAAACCTTTGCAAAACTCGACAAACCATCCAGAAAGCCTTCGCAAAACCGTGAAAACAGGAAATGAATGTTGGGCCGGCCTAACTTCTGTCGGTGCTATTTGGGCTAGCCTATCGCAAAGGGCGACAAGTGGGATTCACTATTTTTCATCCGTCAAGTCTCGAAATGGACTGCTCAACACTTTGGCCTACCCCATGTAGAAAAAACTAAAAACATAGTATATTTCAATAAAGGACACTTATTGTTAAATTAAAATATAAGCAAGGGGTATATAGTATAGTCAACATACTCTTTATATCTGTATACCTAAACCTAATGCAGGAGAACATTGCGTAGCTCAGTTGACAAGGCGCGGGAGTTCACAACCAACCCACCAGTATTCGAGTCTCGGCTCGAGCGCTTGGTGCTCACGGAGTTTTCTTCTATAAAAAGATGCCAACAGGCTAATGCCGAGTGGGTGAAAACCTATCCAAAGACTACGATGCCACCCAAAGGGGTTAGAACATCCTTGACTAGTTTCGCCAACTGTGTATACACCATCTTATCTCTTTTTTTGGAGAGAACACCACCTTATAATAGTGGAGTAATTTATTATCTTGAGCTACCAAAAAGTGCTTCCACCTAAAACAGTGGAGTAAATTTTCATCCTATGGAGCGGAATCAGTATATGGGTCCTCGTATTTAGGGCTGGAATTCGAGCGGAGTCGAGCCAGCTCGGCTCGACTCGCTAGAGCTCGTTTCGTTAACGAGCTAGCTCGACTCGACTCGTTATTATAACGAGTTCAAATTCAAGATTGGCTCGACTCGTATAACTCGCGAGTTGGCTCGTTTAGCTTGTTAAGCTCGTTAAAGATATGAACATAAAACCCTCATATATTATAAAATGATTATGTATATATTAAACATATATATCACTAAACAATAGTGATTTCCTTGTAAAGCATGAGTCTCCTAGGCGGTTGGGCCTTCAACGGCTAGGCCTTGTGTTATGCGCCTGGGACATAGGGTGCTGAGTGGCTGATCTTTTTCTGTATTGGGAGTGGCTGATCTTTTGTACCGAGCCTAACAAGTTACACGAGTACTCGTGAGATTGGCTCGTTTAACTTGGTCTATAAACGATCTTAAACTAAAGCTCGGCTCGACTCGTTATTCTTCGAGTTCGACTCGATTCGAGCCGAGTCACGAGCTACTCGTTTAGCTCGCGAGTTTCGAGCTTTTTTTCCAGCCCTACTCATATTCTACGCGTTGATGAATTGTCACTAAAACGGGCACATTGGATGGCCCAACATATCCCACGTGCCGCACCTCTTGCATCAAAATAAAAAAGGCGCTCCTAAAAGCAATGGTTGAACGAAACTCCTGGGTCTAGCAGAAAACCAGTAACCTGGATTTTCTGACCAGTTTAAGACATACTCCCTCCGTCCGAAAATACTTGTCATCAAAATGGACAAAAAGAAATGTATCTAGAACTAAAATACATCTAGATACATCCCCTTTTATTTATTTTGATGACAAGTATTTCCAGACGGAGGGAGTATTACCTCCGTCCCAAATTAGTTATCTTACATTTGTCTATATATATAGCCGGTCTATTCTGCTAATATTAGCGGAATAGTTATTCTGATAACATTTTCGCACTGCACGCTCAATGCGAGGGCATTGCATCCCTATCAAACGAGCACTGCAATGTCACCAGAAAAAATTGCATGCATTTTTTCGGCATTGTTTTCGATGCAGTTTTTAAACCGTTTGCCGGAACGAGACATATAATATATCGTTGGATAGCTATGGCAAATGCGTAGCCTCTTCATGTAGAACACTTTTTGAGATTCATCGCGGTTTAAGAGCAGTTTTAAAAAACAGTGCACGCATGATGGGATGCAGCGAGCGTATTTTCGCTATTTTTTCTAAACCACGCATCGGAATGAAACAAACGATACGGTGTTGGAAAGATATCGTCAAGCCGCATAGTTTTCATATCTATTATTTTCTCTAATTCGTTATAGTTTAAGAGCAGTTTTAAATTTAGTAAATCGCGGAATTCTGTTTTTTCAAATTTTTGTAATTTTTGTACTGTTTTCGCTTCAGTTTTAAAAACGTTTGTCAAAATGAGGCGTGTGATATGCCGTTGGAAAGCTACGGACGAGGCGCAACTTTCATATGTTGAAATGTTTTTGAGATTCCATACGGTTTTTAGTTAATTTTAAAAATCATGCAGCTGACGATGAGAGGCAGCGGCCGTTTTTCGCGAAATTTTTACAAACCGTTGGTCGAAATGATTCAATTTACACGCTGTTTGAAAGATATCAATGAGGCGCAACTTCTTCATGTAGAACACTCTCTGTGATTCTTTACGGTTTAAGAGCACTTTTAATTTTAACAAAATGCGGACACTCTGTTTTTTCGCGACACCAAAATCGTCGTTTGTACTGCATCAAACAACAAACCGCACTGCTTTGGACTAAAAGCAACACTTCATCAAACGGACAAGTGCACTGCATCATTTCTTTTTTGTGGGTCATAAATTTTACTAAACGAGGTAGCAAACCGCACTTCTTTAGATTAAAACCCGCACTGCATCAGACGGTCAAGTGAAGTTCATGATTTCTTTTGTCGAACATAAACTTTTCTCAGACGAGTTTTTGTTGTCCTTTCTTTCAATTTTTTTGTGAACGAGAGTGTACCGCAGAGAGGAGGCAAGTGAACCGCGACATATATCAAAATAAACCTTATTACTATCTTTGTTGTTGCGTTAAATTTTCACACTTTCATGTTGGGTGCAAGTGAATGGCATCACTCTCAAAAGTGAACCACATCGAAGGACAAAACGCACTGCAATTGTTGTTGTAGTCGGTTGAGACACACGAAACAAATTGCACTTCATGCAATAGGGCTAATGAGCTACTACACTTATCTCTTCAAACAAAATTATTCAAGACATGGGTACTGCACTGCAGACGGGAGACTAGCGAACTGCTCCAAAACACACCCAAGTTTTTAATAGCACACAGAGATCACGGAACACAACAAAAGAATTGCAAAATAAGATGCATCAGGGGGCTATCGAACTGCACGATGCTAGCTCTAGTTGTAGAATCACACGTACGCCACCAATGAGCTGCACGGCGTCACCGTCCATACTGCATCTAGTCCAACACACAACACAGCACACACAAGTCCACTCAAAAGAAAAAGAACTGCACTTGCGCGCCAACTGAGCCACCCTGGATCTAGCCCGAGCGAGGACTACGCGCTTGCAGCCAGCAGTGGCGCTTGGCGCTGGCGAGCAAAGTAGGCTGTGGCGGCTGATCTAGACTCCGGCAAACCCACACAAACTACTAAAATAGCCTATAAACAACACGAAGAACTGCACGGCATCGGAGCCCGCACTGCATGCCGTGGGTGTCAGCATGCTGGCCGCACGGGATGGGGCGCGGCTGCACTTGCCTCCTGCCGCCGATGTGGGAGAACTTGGGGGAGGGCCAGAGACATGGATCCGGCATGCTGTCGACTGATAAGCCACCGGATGGGAGAACAGCGGGGCAGCGGTGGGAGAACAGAGCCGTCGGGATCCCGCGCTGGACGGCGGCGCCCTAGCCCGTGGTCGGAGGAGGGAGGCGCAGGTACGGGCGCGACAAGGGAGCCGAGCTCGTGGGGGACATCAACGTGCTCGTTTCGGCCTTCTGCTGCTCGATTGCGGCACGGCTTGGCCAGATCCAATGCTAGGGACACGCGGCGGGGTCGTGGCGAGGTGCACCAGCAGCGGTTAGTCAGGGGTGGGGCGCAGGCCGCGACGGGGGCGAGGGCGCCGGCGCGTGGTGGGAAGTGGTCGGGTGGGGCGTGGTGGGAGGTGGTCGGGGTGGGCGCACC